CCCCAAAACCCCAAAACCCCAAAACCCCAAAACCCCAGATATTTTATTTCTAATAGAAAATGTAATCAGCTATTTCCAGATCTACTTTGAACTGCTATGCTCCTTTGGAGCCAGTGGTTGCAAGTGATCAAGTTCTTTATTCACTGCTCTGACAGTACGGATCCTTTTATGTAACTCATATTCTTGGGTACGAGCATAATTTTCAGCTTGGTCTACCATGTTCCTCAGCTTTAATTCTAAAAATTATGTGCCAATTACTCGCTTTCTTCTTTAACAAGCTTGAACACTTATTTTATAATGGAATTTAGTTTGCCCAAGTTCTTCACATTTTCAGAAGATTTGGGAACTTTCAGGATTTTTGGCAGTTCTTGGTCCTTAAAGCTAGAACAGGACATCTCCTCACGTGTGTTCTTAATATACTGATTTTTCTTGGTATACTTAACAGATAGGTAAGACTTATCCTCATCTTTGAGGTATTCATCCTTAGTGTCTTTAGGGTCAATACTGAGGGCTAGTCTTCTGCGAAAGAGCTTCTCAGGCTGCTGGAATTTGTATAGAACATCAGAGATGTTAACAGATCTAGCCCTTGTTTTGTTCTCGAGCATTTCTTGTTCTTCCATCCTGAGAATACTAGCGAAATCTGTGGTATTTTCATACTGGATCTCTCCTGCTAACTTCTTGACTGTGTCATTGATCATATCTTTGTTCCTGATTGTCTGGATGGATTTCATAGTCATAATTTTATGAAAAAGCTCGTTAAGCGCATATTGCCTCGCAGAAAGCTCTCCTTTAGGTTTGATACGCATGCGGCTGTGGGGTTAGTAATCAGCTTACTTGAACCTATTTCATTTTTGTCCTTCTTTTCAGCATCTGAAGCTCCACGTTGTTTCAGCAGGTGCAGTTTGAATGCTTATTGTGGGTTGTCTTAGGTGTTACCTCCTCAGGTTCCTCAAGTTCAAGAAGAGCTTTCCTAATTTCCTCTTCAATCATGCTCTTATTCTTAAAATTTGATATTTCTAAAGCCAGGCTACTATTGGGCTTACCCAATCTTGATGAATTTGGATTCTCTAAACGTTTAGTAAACTTCTTCTTAGAGGATTTGTTAAGAAGATCAGTTGTTTTATTTATCAACGATTTTATTTAACTTCCTATTATTAAGATAGCTTTATACCTTCTCAACTTTCTCAGCCTTCTTGTTCTTCCTATTTCTCCATATTGATCTTCAAGGCTAAATTATGAAAAGGGGGATTACTTGTGTAGCTTGATTGGGAAGGTCTACGGGATCCAAGATTTAATTTAGGGATTCCAAGGTTGTGGAAATTGATCCTTTTGAGGCTATTTTGCCTGACTACAGGTGTACTAGCTTGCTTTATATTAATTTTTCATCTTCGAATACTTCTAAGCCACCATTGTTTAAATCACTGTGGATAAGTCTTTTAATTTCAGCTTCAGCAACTCCTTCAATAGCTCTTCTATTATAATGCACATCATCCACTGGAATATAAGTACTTTTCTAAAAATCCAAAGTTAACTTCAAACTTAACATTTTTCAAAATTCCAAAAACCTCAGAGTTCTCCAGCAAACTCTCTACCCTCTCGGCACCTTCCCACTTCTCTTCTCCTTCTCTAACCCCCTCAATTCTACACTAAACTCCCAAAATCTACAAATTCCAAAAACTTACATACAGCTTCTAATGCCCTAAAAAGCCAAATTAGGTTGAATAAGCCCATATCCGACCGCCTGCTTCTCCTTCTCTCGTTCCTTCAAGGCTAGGTTTTTATTTGACCCAGTGAAGACACTCATTGCAATGTTCTCAAATTGATGATTCACCCTATTCATCTTACAAGGAATCCCATTTAAAGTTCTTTTCTGGTACATTTTTGTACAAATTATATTAATTTTACAGGCAAGTTATGTGGTAGGGGTTTTGGGGTTTTGGGGTTTTGGGGTTTTGGGGTTTTGGGG